AAAAAAAAAATCAAATAAATCAAGCAGACCTGTTAGATAAGTCATAAGATTAGAAACGTTTATGTATGTAGTTTATTATTTCTCTTCAAGAAAACCTCAAGAAAACCTAGTTTTTTTCAGTGTAGGAACTGTGGAAAGAACGATCGACGCCCGATGCATACAAATATAAAACCACAAGCAACTTCCGCCGCCGCAGGATCACAGAAGGATGGAACCTGTTCCTGGATCCCCGGCTTTCCAGTTCCCATTCTCCCCGAAATCGATGCAATTCCCCGAAAGCTGCCATGAGTTGGCACTTATTTCTCGTGAGTTTTGTATTTCTTTTGATTTTCGATGGCTGTTTTCGGTTTCGAATTCATAATGATTTCATTGATCTGTCATTCAAGAGCTTCCAGCATGTCTGCAATGCTGCGACACGTATCTCTGTCGATTGCACCTTCCCGACCCGAACCCGAATCTCCCGCCCCATTCTCGATTCTCGATTCTCATCCGGCAACCATTATGTGTATGTGGACTTGGGGACTCGACTGGAACTGGAACTGGGGCTGGGACTTGGCCTGAGACTGAGACTGAAGCTGAGATACTGATACTGATACGGATTTTGATAGCTTATCACCGCGCTTCCTTGCTCATTAGAGAAGCTATTTGTGTGCTGAATGGAAACGATTCTCTGCCGACAATCCGGCAGATGGCATTTGGCAGATTCACCTTCAGCCAGTGCGACGAGTGACGGCCAGATAGACGGAGCTGCTCGGATTTTCTACGGAATACACTATTATAATATGAAATTCCCTTATTAGCCAGCCACCACTGTAAAATTTTCACATGTCTCACTGATGTATCGCAGAACTGATCCAAAGTTGATTCATTGCGTGCAGTGAATGGCAAGAATCTTCAAAGGAATTAGCCCGAATAGCGATATCGATTCAAGTAGTAGGGATCTCAGGGAATCAGGGGGCAGTGGCAGCGGGGTAAGGAAAATGTCGGCATGCATAATAATAGTTTATTCGGAAATCTAATGATCAATGGAAGATTGCGAGTTTCCCATTGGGTCGTTAGCTCTAGCTTATCAACTTCATTCATTAGAGGAGCTGTCATCCAAAAACGCCCCAGGCCTCGGGAGGCAGGGAGATGGGGCTAGTCCGAGGGGGGAGTTACGCGAATTGGCAGACTTGGATTGCATGACGATGCCCCTCCTCGTCCAGCTCCTCGTTAAATATAGCACACTTCAATTAGAATCGGAGGCAGTGCATCTTGTGTCAGTCTAGGCGAGTTCGAGTTCAGTGCTGCAGCTTCATTCATTCGCTACACAGGGGAAAAATAATAGTAAGAAGAAAATATTCTTTCAATTAAAATAAATCATTTATTGTAGTATTATTTTCTATATGAGGTTTCAAGGCATTTCATAGTTATTTAAAGTTAATTTCTGGTTAGTGAAGTAATGAAACATGTATAAAGTATTGCCTTAAATATTCTAATATTTTTAACGAATAATTATCTATATTTTTAGGTTTTTAAAACAATATTTTCAAGTGTAGACAAGATAGATCTCTTTCCATGTAGTTTTTAGCCAAAAGTGTGTCAGTCGGAGCGAGTTTCAAGCGAATTGGCAGGTCTCGTGCAGCAAGGCTTATCGGGGGATAGTCTCGATCCAAGTCGGGGGCCCCACAGCACCACTCCACCCCCCGTACCGTCCACCCAAGGGTCTGTGCTTGCCGCTGATTACAAATTCAAAAAAAATGTATTTATTTCTTACGATTTCATTCTCTTTTTCTTGTGCCTTTCGCTTGTTTTTACTTTTTTTCCCCACCGATTTTCGAATTTTATTTTTCATTTTGTATTTTTCGATTTTTGCAAGGCCCAAAGTGACCCCAACGGACCCCGGTCGAGCCGCTGGGTTATCACTGGCCAAGCTGGAAGCATGCACCACCACAGCCACTCGCTACGCACACCACCACTCATCACCACCACCACTCGCCAGCAAAAGCTAAACTGTTTGTAATTTGCGTTTGAGCGCGCGAATTATGATTGAATAATGAAATGCCCCAATGGGCAGTCAGTCGGCGCTGCCTTCAATTATGCAAAACGGTTACTGCACTTTGCATTAATTAACAAAACGACCAAACAAAGCGAAATTCTCGCAGCTGACACAATTTTGCACGTGCTAAGTTAACCCATATTGGAATGGAGGTCTAGGAAAAGTATATCAAGTCTGGGATATATATTTTTAAAGCTTAAGGAAGACTTTTAAAAATACGGGTTTCAGAAAACAAAATAGGTTACTTTTTGAGTTTCATACACTTTAGCATCTGTCAAGCTTACAAAAGACCATTCGCCATTTTGTTGCCTTTTTCAACACTTATTCTAAGATGGCGTCTGAAATCTAGGATATCTTTGAATTTAATTTGAATAATATAAAATTATTGATTTTTTAAAAACTTACAGAATATATTTAAGAACTTTTTAAGATTAAAAAAAAATGGGTTAAATCATTAGATGCGATTCAAGCTCATTGCAATCAGCTGTGGACTTTCTGAGGAAAAAGGCCGGAGATCCGGGGGAGATCGTGAATTATTTTTCCGACTTCCCTTCCAGTGCGAGTGAAAATATTTTGCAGTTAAATTTAAATTAAGTACACACCAGCCTGGGGGTGTGTGTGTTTATGTGCTTGCAACATTTGATGCGCGCCTTCCGTTGTAAATTTTCATCGTAGGTTGTCGGTGAGCCACCGCCCGCAATGTTTGTGCAGCAACAGCAACAGCAGCAACATCAGCGGCAGCAACATTCTGTTTTTTCCTGCTTTTTCAGTTTCAGTTTAAGTTTTATTTATTTTTTGTGCTTTTTATTTTCTTTTTTTTTCGCTGTATTTTTTTCTTTTGGTTTTTAGTAATTTAAAAATAAGTGCGCCGACGGCGGCCCCAAATAGCATCCGCAAAATGCAGCAACGTTCGTTTGCCACTGGATGTTGGGGTTGGGGATGGCCATGTGTGGTGTATGAGCGAGCATGTGTGTGTGCGTGCGTATCTATGTGAGGAGCAGCAGCAGTAGCAGAAGTAGCAACAGCAGCAGCATCAGCCCCAATCCGACCCGATCCGAAACGAAGCCAAGCCAAGCCAAATGAGAATCGGAGAATCGCGTTCTGTTCTCGAGGCCTCCGGTCGGTCTGTCAGTCTGTCCATCCGTCCGCCGGTTTATTCGGTTTGTTCAGTCCGTGTGCGCGCGAGATAAACAAACTGCCAGTTCACTATCAATCAAATACCGGAAACAGCTGCTTTAGTTTTGCCAAAGCCATTTGGCACACCACTACCAGCGCCCCAGCGCCGCGTCGGTGTGAGGAAAACGCACAGACAGATCAGGGGAGAAATGGTGCATTGGTGTGTGTGTGTAGTTACACGCAGAGAAATCCATCCAAGCCCAGAAAGTAAACCACATTGATACATCTATTTTTTAGTATTATATGATTTTTTTTATTTTGTAGTTTTTAACGGAACATACATTCTAAAAACATTACATAAAGTTCTCCTGGTTCGCTCGACCTCCTCGTCTCCACCTACTACTCCTCTACTCAGTTTATTTTTATTATTATAAAGAAATGTACAAATAAAATAAATATTCATTATGCATAGCTTTCTTTTCTTTCTTTTCTCGTATGTATAGAGTGTGCCTTAAATATTAATTGCGTATCTTTAGCTTTATCTTTACCGTTATCATTATGCATGGGTTTACATCTCCATATCTATTTTTTTGCAGTAATTTTTTTCATCGATTTTTTGTGTGTTTAATTGCTAGCTTTTAAGGAGTTCTTCCATAGTTTAGTTTGTTTTTTGGGGTTTTTCTTTTTTCGTTTTTTGTTGCGTTTTTTGTGTGTTTATTCAATAGTTAGGAGTTTTAAGCATAGTTTTCTGGTGTTTTTGTATAACTAGGCATATATATATATCATATATATATAGTACATGTACAGATTACATACGTGTATAGTAATGTGTTTTAGACTTTTAAGATTAATCTTTAATTTAATTCGCTTTCTTTTTTGTTTTTTGCTTTATTTGTATAAATTTGTTTAAGTTGCTAATTTGCCACTGTTTTTGTTGGTTTTTTCATAGTTTTTGCTGCTGTGTCATATTTTATATGGATATTTCTATACAAAACAATGCTGTTTTTAGTTCTTGCTGCATTTAGACTTGGATTTACATTAAGATTTGCTTATGCTTCTTGTGTTATTTTCGCTATTATTTTTGGAATTTGCTTGCATTTTGTATCTCGCACTCGGCTTATGGTAAAAAATCCTCCATTATATATACAATCTTGCTCGATCTCGGGACCTCGCCCCTAAAATACGCTCATAAGAAACTGATTCCATTATCCCATATCTAACTCCCTCCAAGGATCTTCTTTGTAGTTGTGTTTTTCGGCTCGTAGTTGGTAAAGTAAACTAACTCCTGTCGATATCTAAGCACATTTAGACTGGTCTATAGGTTTGCCACTAAATTGATCGAAAAGTTACTTTTGTCGCTAACACACACACATGGACATATACATTAATTTTTCGTTTTTCATTTAGGATTTAAATTCGTAAAGTTCTACAATGTTTTCTTTCGCTACAACATCAAAAATGGACTGGACTTGGCTTGGTATACCATACATGTATAATATTTGACTAATTTTTACTGCCTCTCTTCTGAATATTTGTCTAAAAGTTTTCTCATGTGTGTATATAGGTTATCATATATATTATCTGGTGTTTTGTTACTCTTGCCCCAAATTGTTTCACTTTTTGTAAATAAATCATATTTTCAAAAGAATAGATTTTAGGTGTTTACTTTACAACTTTCAGCTATTGGATTACGTTTTGTGGAAAAATTGCTGGAATTATTGGTAAGTTACTATTAATTTTTTTTAAATAAGACTTGACTTAGAAATTGAACTTTGAACTGAAAACAAAACAATATGAATTTCGCCGAAGAAATCGAAATAATACAAAATAATCGTTCGAAAAATAATTCCTAATCGCTCGTATCGTTTTCTCGCCCCACTTCTCTCTCTCTCTCTCTCTTTCTATCTCTTTTTAATTAAGCAAAAATTATTTTTTAAATAACATTTCTAATAATTAATAATTATCTGTTTGCAGTCTTTGGTTATTTAATTTTTCTTTCCTCTTTTTTTCCTTCTTTTATATCATATCCTCCTTTTTAAATCATATATTAAATATTTTCTTCAAGTGTATACAGTATATATGGGTATGTGTTTCCTCCTCCCTCCCATCCATCCATCCCCCCACCCACTGGTGGCTCAGATTTTTCCAAGCGGAAAAACCGCCCACCTAGTAGTCGGGACTGGAGTCCAGGAGGCGCTTCTCCGGCGTGAGGTCTCCTTTGCGCAGGATGCGACTGGCCGCACTGCAGCCATGGTCGATGGCCTTGCCATTGGCCTGGCTGAGAGCCGCTAGGCCCGCCCCGGGATTGCCAGCTCCCGGTGGCATGACGCCGCCATTTCCCGACCCGTTCACGCCGACCGGCACGATCGGGAGCATGCTGCTGGTGGATCCGATGCCCGCCACGCCCTGGCAGCGGCAGCCGCGTCCGGCGAACCGGCCGTAGCACTTCTCGCACAGCTTCATGCAACCCCTCATGGGCCAGTAGAACCACAGGCAGGGCAGGAAGATGGACAGTGCCCCCAGCCAGCCCCATCTCTGGGTGCGCTTGTAGGGGCCGCACGAGCAGGGATTGTCCACGCAGGGCGTGCCGTTGCCGTCGTCGCAGTCCAGGTCGTTGTCCCGGGCACAGTGGTAGAACAGGGCCTTGGCACAGCACAGGCAGGAGGCGTAATCGATTACGGATTCGGCGCTGCACAGGCAGGTCTTGTTGCACACCCACGTCTGTGGCAGCGGCCTGGGGCTCTGGCACTGCTCGCACCGACACCTGCCGCACCGCGGGCACACGATCGGGTTGAGGAGGGCGGGGTCGCCGCCCATTACGATCGCGTTGCCGGCCACTCCGCCGGGCTGCTGCTGGAGCAGCTCCTCCAGGGCGTGCATGTGCTCCTTGCTGGCGGGTCCCGGCTGCTTGGTAATGATCGCAGGTTGCTGCTGTTGCAGTTGCTTCGAGGCGGGTAGTGCTGATGCTGCTGTGGGCAACTTGCTGGTGGCATGTTGCTGCTGTTGCAGGTGCGAATGTAGTAAGCCGTCGGTGTGATCGCTGCCAGCTCCTGGTATGGGTATCGCGATGTTGTGGGGCATCCCCTGCATCTGCGTCGCCGCCAGTCGGGGATGGTGGTGTTGATGCTGATGCTGGTGCTGGTGGTGGTGTGGATGCAGGTGATGGTGGTGCTGCTGGCGTTGCGGCAACAGCAACAGATGGTGGGTCGTTGTCTGGCCATTATCCTGCTGGCCAGCCGGGTGTTGGGAGCGCGTCGCATGTTGCAGCGGCGTGTCCACATACTCGTTGGTTAGCCTTTCGGACTCGGGTCGCGGTTGCGCCAGCGTGACGGGGGAGGCGGGGGGCTGGTGGCCCTGGACAGCGGTAGTGGTGTTGCTGTTGCTATTACTATTGCTACTGCTACTGATCACCGCTGCTGGGTCGGCGCTTTGGAAATGACTAAGGAAGTTGATGGTGTTGTTGTTATTGTTGTTGTTGTGGCTGTGGATTGTGCCACTCAGTGGCACCGCTACAGTGGCAACAGGCGCCGGTGCCGGCGGTCTCCGACGCGTGAAACTGGACGAGGATCCCGTCACAGAGCCCGAACCCGATCCGGAGTTCGTTGCCGTCGTCGAGGCGGAAGCGGTGCTGCTGTTCCGGCTCAGGCTGCTCGGTCTCTGGGGCAGGAAGGTCAGGTGATGGATCTGATAGTCGTCGAAGTCCGTTGCCGATGCGGGTATTATCGATATTGTATTATTGTTGTTGTTGCTGTTGCTGATGTTATTGTTAATGTTGTTGTTGCTGATCGGGTTAATACTAAGTTGCTGCTGTGAATTGTTGTTGTGTGTGGCTGTTGCTGTTGCTGTTGCTGTTGCTAGTGTTGCTGGTGTTGCTACTAAGTCGGCACCGCTCAACGTCGGCTCCGGCGCCCTTGGTCGATGCACACGGGGTAACAATTTCGGGGGCCGGGGTGGCGCCAAGGGATCGCCGCCATTTCTGCGATCCATGTAGTGTTGTAACCAATTCTCCCCCAGCTGCACTCCGCTCCTCTCCTCCTCCGCCTCCGCTCCGCTCCTCCACCTCGAGATCTCCGTGGGTCTCCTGGCGGCTTCTCAATGCCTTCTATGATAATCACTGCGCCCGGATTCAGCTCGATGTGCCTTCATCCTTTTGCAGTCTGGCCGCAGGATCAGAGACTCTACTCGATTGCCTTCTGGAAATAGAAATAAAAAATAATGATATTATTAGATTTTTATTTAATTTCAAAGTCATATTCTATTGACCCCCAAAAAGAAAGTGCAAGAATGCCACGAACTCGGGGGCAGGCACTGTAGTTCGCACTCACCGAAATGGCACGTAGATGGGCATTCGCCACGGTTGCGGATAAATGCAAAATAAATATAAGAATAAAGAGCCGGAGAGCACAGAAATAGTCGGCGCACGAGGCTTCCATGCGGGCGTGCCCAGGTCCAAAGTACCACCAGCCATCCAGTCCAATCCGATCCAAAAAGACCCAGCCGAGTGCTTTTGTTTGGATTAAATGGCTGCAAGTGAACTTTTCTACTGGCGCTGCCCGTGGAATGCCGTGCTTTCCTCTCCCCGACGTGTGTTTAATGTTTAATGTTTGTAATTAATTTCTAGCCAAAACTAGAGAGCGAAAATTGGTCAACGCCCAGCAGAAGGTCGTCTTTGGGTTTGATTCTGACGTACGGCGTGACTTTCGTGTAAACACAAACATAATGCAAACACACTAGTTTTTTATTATTATTATTATGATTTCGCTTGAGTTTCGAGTTCACCCGAATCGACGGCCGCCTGGGACATGATGTTTCCGAGATTGTGTGTTTAAACTTTAAAGTTTCTAGGGAACTGGGCTTGGCTTCTGCCCTACCCTGTGGCAGCCAGCCCTGCCCCACTCCGACCGCCAAAAGATCATGTTTCTTGTTTAGAAGCTGGTTTTTGGAAGTACAATTATTTCGGATCCACACAACCCAGTTCAGCCGCCGTCGCCCTCGACACCGCTAACCACCATTATCGGCTTTAATTGCTTTCACCCCACAGAGCCATAAAGTTCTCTCACAAATCATTTATTTCCGTTCCCCCTAAAAACCACATATACAATATATATATATATATGTGGTATTACGCACGGCCATAAAAATAAATGGAATAACTTTCATAATTATTCGAATTGACAAATAAAAAAGAAATTAGCGCCGAGTGAATCAAACAATAGACTAGGCGCCTTCGGAGATTCATTTGCATATACTATATAGAATCATGATGGTTGCTAATTGAACTTTGACTGGAGGAGCCATATAGCATATAGTATCGATCGCGAATGTGAATAAAACATTTTTATGGCGAAACAACTGTATTTTTATGGCATGTTTTTGTGATTTATAGCAATGCAGCAACTAGAGCCGCGATAATCTCTTGCACCACTGACCGCGTCAGTGGTGTGGCCAACGCGGCGGATGAGTAATGCGATCGCCGCGCGACAATCGCAGACGCTGTCCGCAAACAAAACACAACAGTCGTCGTTTAGATAAATATTTGTTTACACATAATTAAAGGCAAGGCATCTCTGAGCCCCCTCCCCCCTAACCAGTTCGGCAAATAAGGAAATACAGGAAATTAATAAATGGCGTCTCTGTTCCATAAAAATTAATAAAAGAGCAGCTCGGAGAGCAGATATGTATAGACTCTCTATAGAGGCATATATAAGGCTATATCTGGCGATAAAAAGCCCAACGAATTATTATTATTGTGCCGCATAAAAATTGTTTTTAGCGCCAACGAAAATTTCTACGCCCCAAAAGAAATAAATGCAGAGATCGCTGGCACGAACCAAACATATATAGCTGTGTGGTATGTATCGGGGAGACCGTATAGCTCTACAGAGGTGTGGGTGAGTGGGTTAAGTGTGTGCGAGGGGGGGTATAAAAATTAACACAAACGCCCACTTATTGACGTCATGTCCGGTACTCAAAAACAATTTTCGAGAATGATCACAATTGGGAAAAACAAAATAGAAAATTAAGGAAAACACACGTTGAACTGCTGGCCAGAGACCAGGGGCGCCGGGTGGGGCATTAGAATGCCAATAAGAATCGGGTCCTCCTCCTCTTTGGCAATAGGTTTCTGGCTTGGATAGTAAGCTACTTACTTTTAATTTTTAAGATTTTAAACACCAAGTTTTTAAATATCTTCTAGCCATTAAAAGGTGTAAATGCGAGGCAGTAAAAAGCATATCTAAACTGCCCAATAAATTGCTCAGAAGATATAAAAAATAAATAAACATAATTAAGTTTTTTGTTAGCCCCGAGGCTTGACGCATATAGCCGCCTCCCCCTGGCCTCCCCCGCGATCTCCTGCCAAAGTAATGCCAAGATTTCGATTTCATTCTTAAATTAATTGGCCACAGCAGATAGAAAACCAAAACAGAGCACTGAGGGGCTCTTGTGCTTGCTTATTTTTAATTGCGCTAAAATTCTTTTCCTCGCAGATCTTTTCTCTCGTTTTTTATACAATATTCTTAATTGTTTGTTTTTTTACGTTGGGCAAACTTTGACCTTGGAACGCAGCGTCAATCAGAATCGGAATCAGAACCAAGAGCCCATTCGGTGAATAAAAAATAAATTATTTCGCCTGTAGAGAGAGAGTGTGATTCAATGGCGCACGAAATGTGAAATGTGGCATTTGAAGCGTTTTCATTAATAAGTGAGTGGGGGTGTGACACGGGGGGGGAGGCTAAGGACTGGGGTTGGCTAATTCATTCAGCCAGCGGCGGGCGATTCAAAAAAGCAGGCGATTCGCCTTTGTGCTGCGAGTTTGTTTGCCTGTTTGCACAAACAAGTGTCACTGCCAGTTGCGATTTAAATAAAATTATTTAAGGCAGACAGACAGACAGCCAAACAAGAACGGCAAACGCGCCGTTTTATATAAAAATACACTCTGGCAGAAATCAAAGCAAACAGGTTTATTTTTTCACTTTTTGTGGCTGGTATTCTGGTTAATAAGCCGGCGTCGGGGAGCTCTGATCTTGGGGGCTTCAACAACATCATAGCAACAGGGCCCATCATGACCCAATTCAAAAATCGAATAGTACAATTGTGAAGAACTGTTTCTAAATTACAATTTTCATTTCCTCTTTCTTGAACTAAGTGCTGAGCTAGATTTTTTATTGATTGATTTTTTTCCTCCATAAATGATTTTTTGAGACTGTCAGCAATGACGACTATAATTGCATTTCGGTTTGCGAATCATGTCTGTGAATCGTGCTTGCTGAATATATATAGTAGTATGTATATAGGTTCTCGATGTTATTGCTCTCATTTTGATTTTGTGTCAAGTTCTGCCAGTTTATAGAATTTTGCATGCTTACATATATTTACAAAAATAAAACTACATTTCCCATTTAAGAACGACACACTTGAGTAGATAAATAAAATGCCAAGAGCGACAGATGAAAAACCTACACAGGAAACGCTAATGACTCCAGGCAATCGAGACTCAGAATTCAGAAAAAAAAAATCCAAAGAACCAGAAACGGGAATTGTCGGAGTTGGAGTTCGAGGCCCAGACTGAGGCTGCTGTGGCTGCCACGATACCAACACCATCACCATCACCATCACCATCCCAGAGCACAGATCATTAAACTATTTAAATGCCCAACCGACCATATGTTGCAGCAACAGAAACATCCATCCACCAAAGGGCAGCTAATAGTTTTCAAACCAAATGATCAGCACATGTGGCAAAGGGCTAAGAAGTGTACTAGTAGTGGTGTGTGTATCTGTGTGCTTTCATTAACACACACACTGTTATGTGGCATTATATGGGGTCTTCTCCAACGCCGGGCAGAATGATAATTATCATAATGATGATTATGTTCAGTCTGGTGTCTGGAGCGGTTTGGGTTTTCCTTTACTTTTGTAGAAATCATTCAAGGCAGCTCTTGGCCAGAAGCCGAGATCAGCTTGGCCAAGAAGAGGGGCCAGTAACTGGCAAAAGTTGAGATATAAGAATCTTAAGAACTGGTTCGAAATATATACATATTATTTTTTAAGAAAATCTATGACTTTTAGGAAGTCTTTATCTATGACAAAGTTGAGGTTCTTAAAATGAGTAACTGGGATTACAATAAAAGGGATATGACTCGTAAAGTATGACTTATTCAAAGATTAATATTACTCAAAACTATGACTATGATAATATATAATATAAACCACAAAAATTTCAAAAATACATCCCATATTTTAAGCCCTTTCTCAAGTCTTTTTACCATCTCTAAACTCCCTTTAGATTGTGTATATAGCTCTGTTATAGGCCGATCTGGTTTGATCTGGTCTAAAGACCATCAATCTGGGGAAGAGTATAAAGAAGCAGAAGAAGAAGCAGCAGAAGAAGAGGGGCCCAGAGAAGAAGCCCATAAACTACAAGTGATCGACCTTAAGATTTTCTCGGGCTGATTGTCTCCTCGGTCTGTTCGGAGACGCTCTCGTCTCTTGAAATTTTCTCTAGGCTACATAGTAGGTATTGTATCTGCTAGATACGCAGTGTGTGTGTGTGTGTTGGTGTGTTTGAAGTAGGTAGATTTCAGGTAGAATGGACCCGCTTGTTGTTGTAACGACTAAAGTGAGTTGCAGTTAAGTGGCAGCCAAAAAGGAAGCTGCAACATGTGTTGCCTTACCACCATCACCATCTCTCTACCTTATCCATGGTGTTGTTGTGCGTAAGTGTTGTTTCATTGTTGTTGCTGTTTGAGATGCACACCTTTTGTCCAAAGACTAACAACAACAACAACAACTAGAAGAGTATGAAGCAGAAGAGCCAACATTCAAGATTTCTTCACCAAAGTCTTAGGCCTTATAGAAACATCCAACAGATGTTTTCTATGTTTCATTGTGAAAAATTTTCTCTTTTTTTTTTCCTACCATACAACTACTAGTGCCAGCAGTTGTTTTTCCTTTTCTAGCCGTCTCTTTCACTGGTGATAGCCCCGTCTCTGTCCGCTGGTGATTGCTCTCCTTTCATTTGGATGTCTATTTCTTTCTTTTCCGCCTGCCCCGCCTTTGTTGTAGTTCTCAATCGCATCGCAATGCTCTTCATTCTTGAAAAGGTGCACCAAAGGTGGGGTGGGGGGGATGCTATTATTACAGAACTGAATGATCGGCAATGGCGAGGGTATAGTGGCTCTATTGCCGGGGA